ACGGCTCCCGCGGCCGGCTGGTGCGTGCGCCCAGGGCGAGCAACACCCCTGGGCCGCCTCCTGGGCTCCCCGGCCTGAGAGGCTTCGGGGAGGCCCTCGCCGCCTGCACACCCTGGTTACTGGGTCCACGGCGCAGCCCGGTCTCCTGCCTGGCGAAGTGCATCGTGTCAAGGATACAGCAGCTTTCATATTCTCCCACCCTGCCTGCATTATTGATGGGCTGAGCGCTTTCAAAAAATCAATTAGATCAGGGTGCAGAACTGGGGTTGAGAGGAAAGAGGCCTTTAGAGGTCTGTCCTTGCTGATTTGCATAGGAGCGAGGGCTTGAGTAAGTCCGGCGGGCTGGCTCGGCTGTCATTGGCCGGACGTGGGGAAATGCGCTGAGATGCAAACGCAGGCAAATAGGACCCGCGGCGTCTGTCCGTCCGGCGCCATCCCTCGGTGCCGCGGCCCACTCGGAACCCGGAGGCGGACGGAGGCAGGTAAGGCCGGGCCCGCGTGGGCCTGAGGAGGAGGAGGGAAGGAGCTGGGGGTTTCCTGCTCTGTCTTGGACAAGGTTTGCAAGGGCAGAGCCGGGCAGCTTCCTGCTGCGAAGTGGGGTTCCACGTAGGGACCTGGAGCTGCAGGCACTGTTTAGAGGCTGGCTGGAGGGAGAAGACCCTTGACGTGGCGGTGAGGACGCGCAGGGCAAGGCAGCAGCTCTCACTCCCTGGGCCCCGCTCCTGGGGGTGGGGCCGCGGGGACCGGCGCCCTCCCCCACCCAGGGGCCGCGGTCCTCGCAAGAGCCGAATTCACGAACTAGGACTTGGAGGCAGAGGAGGGGACCCAGCCCTGGGCGCTCGGCGAGCAGCCCAAAGCACATTTTCTGAGCATTCTGGGGCAGAAGCCCCTTCTCTGCACGGAGCCTCTCCTGCCCGGGCCGCCACTCGGCTCCCCCCACCCCCCAGCTAAGCCACTGCGGGGGTCTGGACGATTGTTGTTCTGGACGGCGGCTGCGGCCCTGCCCAGCTGACTGCCCTCACAGAGAATGGCTCCCGGCCAGGCCCCGCAGCCGGCTCCGGACTGGGGCGAAGGGTCTGCAGACACCCCCGACGCCCCTGGCCGCTCTGAGCAGCACAAGGTGGGGCCGCGCTGGGCCTGAGCAGAAAAGAGGGAGCCCACAGCGCCCACCGACGCCCCAGGCACCCCTCCAGGGAGCCACACCCTGGG